TTTCGGCAGGCTCCGAGCTCCGGTGGTGAGGCTCGTTTGGACGGCTTGCAATCATAACAACGACGAGATGGACGAAGTGAACTGGTGAACCAAACCTTCATTGGAAACCTCTAGGCGCCACGCTGCCTCTCGCCGGACTGAGGGGGCCTCTGAGCAAATGCGTTGGTTGATCACACAAAAGCCGAGCAATGCGAGCAAGATTTGGCTGGCTGGCAAGATTTGGTCGTTGGATCAACTGTCATTTTCTCTTAGTAGTTCTCTATCTGCAGAAGAAATATCATTGAGTCCCACATGTCGCGGCTGGCCGATCACCTTCTCATGCTGTTGAGCGTAGTACAAACGGCTTCAAGGTCTCAACGCTGGTAAGAACACATCAATCATTAGCATGTGGAAAGCTTTGCCAGATTCAGCGGGTTGATCTTCGATCCAAATGATCCGGGTGGCAACATCTCTGCTCATTTTCTTGCTGATCATGTCAGCATCGGTTGCTTTCGAAGCTACTAAAGAACAATACATTTCACCAGCCATGACCAAACTCAGCAACAATCACCTTCAGCAACTGGAAGTCAACCACGCGTGATCCATAATCACGAAAACATCTCTTTCGGGCATGCACGAAGCGGGGCCGGAATTCGAGGTCACTAAATCCAGCAAGCACGTCCCTTGTTTCTTGCCAAGGTCCCAGCTCTTCAGATTCTGCTGCTTGGCCAGTTGCTGTATCGTCGGTTGGAGTGTTTTGCTGAGACAAGCCTCTGGTAACTTCCAACTTTCTCCCCTGACCCAGACTTCGTCGACCCGTGCCTCGTCGCTGAGCAGCCTGCACATCTGCATCAAAACCTGTGCTGACACACCATGATCCAACACCACAACGGCCCGGTCCGGCGCTGCATCGCAAGATCGACGAAAGAACCATCAGCTACCTGAGCAAGGACACAGAGGGGGCCTGGATTCAACCAATCCCAGGAAGGCCGTGATCAAGCAAAGGTAGTGTTCCGTTGGCTGCAGGGCCAGCCTGCCAACTTGTGTTGCGTATTTCTTGTACGGTAGCCCAAGTTTGGACTCTCTGTTGTGGGGCCGCCTTGTCATTTGGCTCGCCTTCAAATGACAAACAGGGTGCCAATGCAAGACTGCCTTCAACTGCATTAACAGCACACCAGAGCCGCCTAACAGCAGTCACAGAGAGCATTTGAAAGATTAGCGTGGTCTAAATAGAGCCCAACTCTATCTGCACTTGAACATCCATTTGACTCTTTGCGGATGGCCTCTTGGACGATGTCGTCAGCCATGATCTGAGAAGCATCCTGTGGCGCCCCTTGAACGCCCAAACAGAAAGGACCGGGCCGGGTTTCTTCGATTTGTCAAGTAGCAGATATTGGTTTAGCTCCCTTGCCACGCCAAGTTATACTCCAAGGTACCCCTTGGTCCTGGGCTCTCAGGGTGGTTCGAGCTATGCACCCCTCAGCCAGCTTCACAAGGACGGGTTTAAAGGACTGGATTACGGCAAGGATCGCGGATCGATCCCTGGCCATTTGACATTCGGTGGAGATTTGTCGTCACCTTGCACTTAAGCAGGAGCCCCTAGTCTGGCCAGGATCTACCACGCTGTCATCAATAGTGTATGTTGTCAGCCATCGACCTCACTTGAGCATTGTTTTTTTTAGAGGTTCAGGGCTTATACACTGCTGGGGAGGCTACGCGGGGGGCTTCGCGGGGCCAGAATATGTGGAAGGGTTGGCTTCGCGAGGCTTCGCGGCAAGACGGTGGCTTCGCGGAGTGGCTTCGCCGGGCTTCGCGGATGCACAAACATCTCTGACGTTTGCGCCCCCGTGTTGTTGAATCAAGTTGAGTCGGCAAGAGAGGCATTGAGCTTCAGGACTAGGGGACATGGCTGGGCCTCAAAGGGCGGAGCATGGAAGTTGGACCGCGGTGGCTTGGCAGTGGCTTCGCGGAGGCTTCGCGGTGGCTTCGCGGGGGCTTCGCAGAGAATTCGCAGAGGCTTCGCGAAAACGTTCCATCGTTTCTAGCAAAACCGGGCCTGAAACGCACAGTGCTCTTCCGGTCGTCTTCGGGTAATCTTCCTGTAACTTTGTCGTAGCCTGCTGACTCTAAACGTCAACCTTTGGAATACTACTGCCATGAAAGCGCACAACACACTTGCCATGAAAGCACGCAATACACTCAAACCACGAAGTGGCTTCGCGAAGTGGCTTCGCCTGTGTCAATGTTACCGGGCTACGCGAAGTGGCTTCGCGGGGCTTCGCGGTACACAATGTATCGCGCAAGTGCCTTCGCGGAGCTTTTGGGAGTTCCCCACGAAGCTAAAATCCATCATCTGAGAAAAGAACGCTGCTCACTTGTGCGTGGTGAAAGAACTACAGATTTGGCATAATAAGACCGGAAGCTGAATTAGTACACTTAGCATTCTCCTACGATCATGACTTGTAGATGCGTCGTCCATGAAGGGCATAGACTTGTGCTTGACCGTGACCTTGCGGTCCTGCGCCCTGCCCGCCATTTTGCCGAAAGTGAAACATCTCAACAAATGCACAGTTGTATCCAGGAGCATGTGCTGGTGGTTTTCTTCAGGGCACATAAAAAAGCAGCGGTCTCCATGTGGCATTCAAATCCTGACCAAGGATTTTCGTCTGGGCGAGACATCCTGTTACTTGTAGGCTATATTTGGACTTACACACGCATACTTCAGATGTTTGAGTCATGCCTGCAGTGGCCCCAACTCCTGTTGCGGGCTAGGGGCCCCTGTTCCTTGAGTTGGTTGTGAGACCCCAGCGGAAGGATCCATCACCATCTCTACTGACCGCATGTCAGGTCTTTTGCTCATGGCACTGGCCCAGGCCATTCTTCCCTGGCTTTCAGGGGTGGGGCACCCCAGTTCTTTCTCCACTCTGCCCGGGGAACAAATCTATGGAATCCCATGGGTTCATCCCAATGTCCAATGTGAAGATCTTCCGAATGCCCGGCTGGTGTCTGCGCCTCCCAGTTCTGCCACAGTGCCGCGACGTTCCCCAGCCCACGCCTGTGGTAAGCTCCGAGCACGTGTCGGTCGGCCACGTACATGCACGTGACGTATCATATGCACGTGACGCATCATGATGTGGACATGCGCATCTCATAGGCACCCTCGCACATGTATGTACATATATGCTGTGCCCACGCATTGCGCACACTCCACCGAGGCCGGGGCCCTGCTTGCTTTCTGACCTGGGGCAAGTGGGGCTGTCCTTTTGGACGAATAGATGGCACTGATGGGAAGAGAACAGAAGAGATCTTTTGAATCCAGTGGAACCCGCCATTTTCAACCAAACTCAGCCAAACGGGACACCAACGATAATGCCCTGGGACAATCAATCAATCTGTGTGAATCATGAGCCATTCTCTGCTACTGTCTGAGGGCTGTGCCCGCTAGCTGCGTGAAACAGTCACTTCTCATGCAGAAACAATCGCCCTTTGAGCAGGGAACCACAAGAAAGGACTCTTGATCATGGGTCTCCAGCCCCGCCTTTGTGAGATCGCCATCCTTCCCAAATGCCAGTAAACTTCGCCCAGGAATATGGAACATCTTGCAACCAAATTCACATGGGGGAGTTTGTCTTGCGCCCTTGCATGCCAGAAGATGAGCAAAAGCTTCTTGATGCCCGCGTGCGGACAATGAAGAAATCGCCTCAGGCGCGCCTGTCAGGTTCCACATGTGCAAAATCTCAAAATTGCAGGCGGCGAGGTAGCAACATATACGAGTTCGGGATTTATCTGGCAAGTCAGTGAGTGCTTCATGGATTGATTCAAGCTTGAGCGTATTTCTGTGTGGTCAAAGGATTTGCCCTTGCTCAGCGCTGGGCGGTTGCGTCAGCGTCGTCAATCGCAGCCACCACACCTGAAGCTCCGGTCAATGTGGCACAAGGTGACACCAGGATCTATGGGGCGCCCGCCAAACAAATGCATCAAATGGATGCACGGTTCGTTTGCTGGATGCAAAACAACATGAGCCTAACAACCACCTTGGGCCCATCGAACCCAGTTTGTCATGCCCTTCCTTTGACAAACCACTGTTACAACAGCAATGGGCATATCAGCCAAAACCAGAAAGAACCCTTAAGCAACCCTGAAACAACCCTTCAACAGTCCTTAAACAAGCCAACTTTTGGTGAAAGAACCCCCCCCGGTCTCCAGTAACCCCTGGGACCAGCCCAAACACTTTTCCCATCAGTAGCACATGGCTTATCAGGTGATGCTGAAACCACCAAAGCGAAACTGTCCCAGCTTTTGCCCCAAAAAGAATGTGTTAGATGCCAGATTTACACAACCCTCAGATCTAAAATTAGTCCAAAGTCCCAAACAAACATATAGGCAAGGGCCAAAAAATGGGGTAGTTCCCTCATTTTGGATGGTTCTACCCCCAAAATTTCCATGTCTTGACCAAAGAAGACCTTTGGGCCCGGCTGCTGAGAATGGCCAGCAGGTCATCCCTCTCCATAGGGCTGTCCATGCAGCTCAGCAGCTGAGACCTCAAAACTCGTTGTTTGCGGGTTTCATGTTTTTTTTTTGTTTTTTAATCTTCTTGTGCATAGAAACCCGCAAAGCTGGGAGCTTCTACCTCAAATTGGCCAAGGGCCCATCCAAACCCACACAATTGTCTAATATGTTCGACCCGCCGAAAACAGATCCTATGAGTTTTCGTGTAGTTCGCTGGTTTCTTAGACTCACACAAACACGGGCCTGTGGCAAAAGGAAGACAAGGAACAAAGGGTAGCCCCAAAAACAGCACATCCACATGGACAAAAGAGCAGTTCCCAGACCGGTCCCAGCATCCCAAGGTGTCATGGGAGTGCAGCCTCTGAGGATGCTTCAGTCGTTGGGTACATAGGTGTCCTTTTGGAAAATAGATGGCCCTGGAAAATTGAATAACACCCATCTAAACCAGTGCCTTCTATTTGTAACCAAACTAACCTAAAAAGGACACCTATGGTGGGGTACCCAATGAACATTGATTGGATCAGACGGTTTTGAGATGGAGCATAGAACAGACCTATGACTGCTTTTTAAGCTGGCATCCCAAAACAATTGGGCTTCTGTTTGGTTTCCCCCACCACGCTGGGGCTTGATTCCCAATTTGCAGGACACCCACTTTTGGTTCTACCTGTGACCAGCTGACATTCTGTGGGCATCAACATGCACTGCTTCTAGTCTTTGCCTTTGTGGATTAGGTTTCCTTTGCCCTTGCATCACATGTACATTGGATGTGCGTGTCACTTCTACGGAGCATCGAACTGAAGAGAGTCTACACAAACGAACAGGCATGGGGCCCATGTCACTTCAGGATCCACCACATGCTGCCTGAGTGCTGCTGGCAAAACCAATCTTGGCAAAGTGGAACGGTTCAAAACCACGGACCCTCCCGAATGGTTGGTTGCTTTTCGTTTTCCTTTGAACGGGCCTAGCTTTAACGAAGAGCCAATGATAATTTGACAAAAGATGGGGACACAACTCATTCTCTCTTTTCTAGGGCTTCCACTGGACCCTTCTCCTTTGAAACGTGCAGTGCCGGTCTCAACCGATTTCAACGCAAATATGGCTAAACCCTTTCTCATGGACTGCATATTGTTGAAATCGGTCATGTTCAAAAGAGATCCGAGTTGGGTTGATAGCCTTCTCACCACGGGTCTGCAACATCCCAGGCCCCAGGCATGGTGCTCATGGCTGCCACGCGGTGCCCAGGCAACTTGGCGGCCTCGTGTGACCGTGTGACTTGACACGGGGAAACGAAGGCCAATGAACACGTGGTGTGTGTTGATCCTGTCCTCGCCAAGCATGGAAAAAAATAGGAGGCACCTGTAAGCCCTGCAGCGAGCGCATCGATCTCTGAGCTCGCAGCCAGAAAAGGCTGCAGGAATTGCAGCAACGTCTCCCGGCGCCTGCCCCCGGCCGCGACAGATTGGACCCAACTGGGCTACCATTGTGCTGGCGTATCTTGTTCGAGGGTCTTCCGTCATTGGATGCAAAGGGAAATGGAAGGAAACAGCCTTCATTTGAGGGCTTTTCCAATCTGCAGGCCAACAATGTATTTTGACTCAGCTTGCAAAAAGAGAACTTCGAGCCCTAGTTTAGGAATAAGTTCACCAGCTCCCAGGCAAGCACAGCTCCGTGCGCATGACGAGCCAGTGTCTTTTGGAACACGGGAAGCATAGCCGGCTGTCAAGCTTAGTAACTCTTAGTAGCTTGAACAAGTAACATACCAAGAAGGCTGAACCAGGACTTGCAACACACATGCACATCAACACAAGAAGACTCTGAGGGCCAAATCAACAGCAGCCAGCAAAGACTTGAGCCTCTCAAATCGGACTGCCAGGGCCCTTTCAGTTGGATAATGACCACCTGTGCTCAGGTCCTCAGCAAAAGGCTCCAGGAGAGTGCAAAGTGATGTGTTCATTTCCAATACAAGCGCGATGATCCACATGAACCATGCATGTTGAAGAGAAGTGATCAGGAATGCAACATGGCATGGTACTTTTGACAAGTTTTTGGCGCGTCCTGCGAAATGTGCGCCCTAGCTAATGAAGTTGAACTGACCAAAGATAGCCATGATAGCCCTCAGTTCTGCGGTGAAAAACACGGCACACAACCCCGCCTGGGCTGGTGGCGGCAGAAAAGCGATGCCAGCTCACAAATCACTTCGTCGTAAAACTCCCTGGTGACCTGGCCACAAAGCATGACAAAAGCTTGCCCGCTCGCAGCCTCATGTCGACAGTCTTGATCAGCAGCCTTGATATATTTAGTCACCATCATGGCTGCTGTCATCGTCATCAACTACCTACCACCTCACTGCCAACCACCTCGAAAGATTCAAGCGGCAACTGCTGACAATAGCAAGCAATCGCAGCCAGCTAGCTAGAATCAATTGCCAAGACATGTTAGAAACTAGCAACATCCATCAGCAAGTACCCCAACCCAGCCAAGTCATCCCAGTTGCAACCCTTTACAGCCCTGCAGCAAACGGCATCTCCATACCCAAGAGCACCGGTTGGCTGAGGCTGCAAACAGCCACAGCAACTCTTTATGAATGTTCCGAGGTTCTGCGTCAAGGTCGTTGTCTGCTCTTTCATTTGATTCTTCCTTCACGCTCTGAAAGCAAGCGGTTGGCAATCAACCTTGTATGAACGGTGGTCTTCGCAAGGGATCAATATGGGGGTGTTTGCTCTAAGCAGTGAAGGAGCTTCTCCAACATGGGACACGCACACACACACACCCCAGTGAATCAATCAGGTTTATTCATCCCGGGTTTCCACCACCTGCGCTTGGATTGTGGCTCAAGCGGCGGCTAGCAAAGCCAAAGGCAAAAATCTCAAGACATGACGTCCTGTCCTTTTTAGGGTCACGTCACGGTTAGAAGACCAACCTCAAGAAATAACAGGGTTCAAGGGTAGGCTTGGAGTATCCCTTGGGCCATTCCCAGAACGGCCCGCTGTTTTTTGGGACCCGTCGAGCCTTGGCCAAGCGATTGCCCTCCAGCGCCTGGGGCAAAAGCCCTGGCCAAACTATCCTTTGGGACACCCAGGCAATTACAACTCACATGCCCAAAGGACAGGGAAATCAGGGTAAGACAGGGAAATCAGGGCAAAAACAAAGCAAACGGAAAGCTGAAACTAAGATAAACACCTTAGTGTCTCAGGTGCCCAAATGCTTCAAATGATGTTACTTCAAGGAGACGGCGCTTTCACATAGTTTCTGTCTGGCCGGCAAATACTCATGTCGGCACGTGATGAGGCTGACAAAGTACGCAAAGGCTGCCTGTTTTTGAGTTTATGTGTGCCAATTGTGGCTCCCTTCTGGCACTCTTTGAGTTGGATCAGCTCGATTTGGCATCCACAACAACCCACAGTTGTAAACAATAACTCTCACTGCGACACCAAAGTGGTTAATTTCCATGATGCCTTGTTAACTTTCAATGGAGATTCCCTTGATTTCCACCATGAATCGTGCCGAATCCCGGGGTCCGCGCCATTGCCATGGAGTCGTTCTGGGAGGCGTGCAGGAAATTCATGAAGGCGCCAGCGGCTTGCTGGGCCTCAGTCTGGTGGATTCGAGCTCACGCCCGCGGCCATTTTCGCTTGTCTTCTGAACCCAACCAAACAGGCTCTCGACTGCCGAAAGGAAGCCATGGTTCTCAATCCCCCAATCGCACGGCTGACCGAACAGTGATACGCTTCAAATGTGCGCCCTAAGGAAAGTGTTTCATGGATTGTCCAACGACCATACCGTTGGCCGCAGCATACTCTATTCAAATATTCACATTTGGGAGCGTGACGGACTAAAGCTGCACTGTAGGACACCGTGTGCAAGTCCAAGTGGAGGAGATGTGATTGAATTACACATCTCATATTTGTCAGAACCAATTTGGAAACATCGGAAAACAGCGAGACAAACAGATCCCCTAGTTTTCTCCCACCACGGTACAGTGCAACGACTCTCAAGGGTCGGTAGAAGAAGGGAACCCACTTTTTGAAACGGGAATCAATCCCACCCAAACAAAAAGGATCCACAGGGGCCCGGAACCCACACCGAAAAATTCAGGTCGCTCTGCTTCGAGCACCCCACGTGCAGGCCCTCGCTGGTGGTGCCGATGCGCAGCAAGAAGGTGCCGAAGAGCTGCGAGAAGTACCTACGGCGAAACAGCCGAGACCCATCCATAGGTCGAACAAAGGGCTCTGGAGGTCCGAAAACTTAGCACAAATTCCCTGATGGGGATGAGATCAACATGGAACGGCACCATCTGTAAAGTTGAGGCTGATGCAAAGGGAAACCTCCAACTTGCTCCTTTTGCCTGCAACATGGCCATATGCCTTTGCGATCGATCCCTGGCCAGCCAGAGTGAGGGGTCAAATCCTGAAAAATGACCGCAACTCTGCAGCCACGTGAGCCATCGGCCATCCTCATAAACACAAAACAATTCCTGGGACTGTTCTCAATGCTTTGGAATATCCAATGCAACGCAGCGTGCTTTCACAACCTGACAAGCTTCCGGACCGGCCTGCGATTGCCAACGAGTTCCATGAGATGATTGTGAAATTTGCATGAACGACTATTGTCAGCAGTTCCAAGCTCATCATGAGCCATGAGGGCCGGTTCTCGTGGCAGCTTCGGGGCTTCCGTATCTAGCCTCGCTGCGTGAACTGTCACAAGCGATTGTCAGGCCAGCACCTTTGGTGCACTGTGCTCTTGCCGTATCAATTAGTTTTGCCTACCATGGGTTGCTTTGCGCAGCATGCGAATGGCATGGACCTTTTACCACAATTTGCACGGTTGTTCTTGTTTGCCGCTTGTTTGCTTCGTTGCTTCGTTGCTTCCTTGCTTGCTTGATTGGTTGTTTGCTTGTCTCTCTGCTCTGTCTCTCTGTCTCTCTCTCTCTCTCTCTCTGTCTCTCTCTCTCTCTCCTCTCTCTCTCTCTCTGTCTCTCTCGTCTGTCTCTGTCTCTGTCTCTGTCTCTGTCTCTGTCTCTGTCTCTGTCTCTGTCTCTGTCTCTGTCTCTGTCTCTGTCTCTGTCTCTGTCTCTGTCTCTGTCTCTGTCTCTGTCTCTGTCTCTGTCTCTGTCTGTCTCTGTCTGTATCCGTCTGTCTATCTGTCTGTCTCTCTGTCCGTCTGTCTGTCTATCTGTCTGTCTCCGCCTGTCTATCTCTGCTACCGTCTGGTTGTCTTTGTCTCTGTCCCTGTCTCGTCCCAATCGTTGGTCGCGCAACAGGCGCGATGAAGACTTCCATGCACATGTGCACGGATCACAGCCATTCAGTCTTTCTCTTCACCCGCCATACTCTTGCTGAACACCATGATTTTGGGCCAGCTCACGAGCTTCGCCACCTCCAGTGATCACCAACACCGCCACACAATGGGCACACATTGCCATCGCAACCCAGTGGCAAATCATCTCCAAGATTCAGGCCCCATGTTGTAATGGGCATGGGAACAAAGGATCCCCTTTTTGGTAGTTGACTTTTTAAAGGCCAACCCTAAAATAGGGAACAAAGGAAGCAGGCCTGTCAGTGAAGGCCTTGTTTTGCCAAAAAACAAGGTCAACCGCCAGCGCAGGGGTACTTCTTCACAGCGGCGCCGATGGAGGAGTCGTTCACCGTGAAGAGGTGACCCACGGCCACAGTGGCTGACAGCACCTGCTCTTCGCCATGGTTCGCACTGACTCAAACAGCCGCAGTCAAGTGCTTGTATTCGGCTTTGGACAGATCAAAACTGGGCTGGCTTGAGATCCCCCGCTAAACGCATAACTTTTAGTGGGTGAAATGGAAACTACCACTAAACACTAAAAAGCTAAAAGGCTAAGGGGATGGCTGGGAGCCACCAAGAAAAAGCAAACGCCCGCAGGACTGGGTTTTGAACCTAGCCAGCTGGCTGGCCTCCAGAGGCAACGTGATGACAAACACATGCACAGCATTCACTGCCTTTACGCCAAGAGTCACCTGAGAACATGGAGCACCATCAGTGCTATGGTAACTGTCTGTGTCAGTCATGATCACTTCTCCTTCCTGATGTTTCTATTGAGGTGGCGTGTGATGATTGTCACGAATTATTGGCAAAGGGTCTATCACTATCCCACTTACCGCTAGTAACCAGGTCCTTCAAATACCATGGCACATCCATCTCCCCAAGTCTTCCGGGTTTCTTGACTTGCCTTGAACCTGACAGGAGGCATGTGGCAAAAGCACGCCGTTCTTGAATAAAAGCTCAGGTTCCTCGTGGGCGTTCAGGTAGCAGGCAGCATTTATATGTTCGATGAATGCTGGCGACACCCCAAGCGAACGTCTTAAAAAAAAACCGGCGCGTGCCTGCCGTGCCTCTGCCGAAGAAGGGTGGTTCCTCAGACTGGTGGCATGAGAGGCTTGGTCTTTGGGCTCTGCGTGCCAGCCTTGTGTCGCCGCTTGCAGAGACTACCACCCCATTTGACTTGCTTTCGTTTGTGCGGAGCATGCAAAGCGCTGTGCATGCTTCAAGACTTTCATACCATTGGGAGGCCAAGAACTCTTGCAACTGCAGCAAACAGAGCATCACCAAAAGCATTCATTCCAGTCTGGGTAATGGTGATCTTGCTGAATCTGCTGCGTGTAGCGATTGCAACGGAAAGGCCCATCTTTGTTTCATTCATGTCAATTCAGCAAAGCTCGAAGCGCCGTTCACTGTACACTGTACACTAAATACAAGGCTTGCAGGTTTCATTCTGTAGGTGGTGGTCAAGAGAGTCCGCTCTTGTCGATGCAGGGGTGGCATTGCCAGTACCCCCTGCAAACTGACAGCGGATGTCGACCAACAACTGACAAAATCAAGAAGACCGTCGGACAATGGGTAGCTAACCGTCCATAGGTACTTCTCATATCCACCTTGGCTGTGGCCAAGTTTTACGCGGTCAGGTCAGGCAGGTGCGACTTGTCATAAAAGGTGGGTTGGCACCAACTAGAAATGACTCACATTCTGAAGATATCTGATTTCTGTGGATTATCCCGGCAATGGCAGGGAATACGTTGGCATGAACAAAAGGCTTTAGAATTCGCAGCGAAGTGCCATGAATCTTTCCGATCTCCCTGAACTCTCCACACACGGGCTGTGTATGCTGAACAACCTGACAGCCTGCTCATGAGTCAGTTTGCCTGGTGGAGGACGGGACATTGACAATAACAAGTGTTGCGGCAGTGGGCCAATGCAGCAAACCAGCAGATAGTGAAAAATGCTAAACCCCCCTTCACGAGACCTTTCACCGTGATCGTGTTTTGTTTAGTGACAGTGGCTGGAATCTCGGCCAACCATGGCGCTCGCAATTGCGTGGGCAAACAAACATGTTGTAACACTTGATGGAATCAGTCTTTTGAGAGTTGGTCAAAACAAATGCTTCAATAGCTGCACAGTTCGTCTCATCGCTGTTTCCGGACGGCAAGGGTGGAGCTGTTTGGAGGACCGCAGAAACCTTGGCTTGTCACCAAATTGAAGCACCCCATGCTTGAAAGGGAATGCGCTATTTTTCCCCCACTCTAACTGAAAGAACACGCGTGCGCCCCACCCCTTTCTGTGGGGAACGACCCCAGAACCAGCATCCGCTAAGCAGGGGGCACACTTTCCATTGCTTAAGTCGGTGGGGATTTTGCTTCGCTTCAAGCTGCAAACCGTTGTCCAGCTGCTTCTCTCGCCTTGCTCGTCGCATGCCCAGTGCACGCTGGCGCGCCAGCATCTCGCGCTTCACGTGTCGGTCCTGCGTGTCGAAAACTGGCGACGCTTGCTTAAAAAGCAAGCAAACATTTGACTTGCAAGTGCACGCAAGTTGGTCAGGGACCCTTCCCAACGGTCGGTTTTGCTCTGAAGATTGCTTTCAACAGCGTCCCAAAGATTCAAGGTTCCCTTGCAAACACACATTCCGGTCTGCCTGCCTCTACGCATGATACACAGATTTGCAAGAAGAGCTTCCTCCCGCCTGCCATCAAGTTCAAGGCAGCCTAGTCTGCTGCCCAACAGTAAGAACTGGCTGTGCACCTTCAACAGATTGATGGATGATCGGGGCAAAGGGATGGGCAACAATTGAACATGTTCGGCGAAAACGAACAAATCCACTCACATCATGCACGTATGCATGAGCTGAATTGAACAAAACAATTCAGTTCTCCGAAAGCAACCCAACTTCAAAGAAATTCCACCACATTCAACCTACTGGGAATCTGACGCGGAATTCTGCAAGGTGCGTGTGAGGGGAAGGGCTAAATTTTGTCCGGGGTTTGACAGTGCCAAAGGGATGAGCACTAGGACTGGCTTCCCCCCAACTTCGGCAAGGCCAAGGGTCAGGCTAAGTCATCTTGGGACTCAGTTTTTCAAGCCATTTTGGGCCCAGGGCTTCCCCTTTGGCACACTCCAGGTCCGAGCTGTTCGGTTGAACAGTGTCCAGTACCGAACATGTCCTCCCAAATTCCTGGTGGCAAAACGAAGACCCCCGAACCTAAGCAAGGTCAACCATTGGTTTCGCTCCAAGACTCTTGCCATACGCTTTTGCACTTGCACATCAACTCAAGTAGCCCTTGCCCTTCCCAGAACAGCCACGCTGAATCAAACAGAGTCTGGAATGAAACAACTCTCCTCGTGCCTTGCTGTTTTTCAAATGGACATTAGCGTCCCTGTCACTGAACATCAGATCACGGACCCCCAAAACGGGGTCCCAACATGTCCCAACTAGAATCTTGTTCGGTGTTTGGGGTCCATGAAGGTGTTCAGAAGAGCATTTTGCACCAAGCATTACCCCATTTAACTTGAGCTGCATCGCTCGCGCCCTGTCCTTGGAGCACACGCCCGCCCAGGGATCTTTGACCAGCCAAACCGTCACGCCTTGCCGGCCATGGCACTCGCTTTCTGCCAAGCGGACTCTGGCCTTGTGGGGGTCCCCCTGGAGCACGCAGCCAATTGAAAGTGTCAAACTCGGGGCGCCGGACCCCACGAAATGGGCTTCGGCTTTCCTTTTGGCTTCCCTTCTAAACCAACACGATAATGGAACCAACCCGAAAAGGACACCCCTCAAAAACGAGAAACCCATTGCTGCGCCCAGCGAAACTTCTCGCCTTGCTTGCAGTCCCCGAACTTCACGCGGCTGGCGCCACTGGTAGGCCTGGGAAGGCCAAGTGCTAAGTCCGAATCATACCAAGGAGGAACTCAAAGCACCGCCCACGGTCTCGAAGTCTGGACTGGCAAACAACACCTGAGCTTTAAGAGTGAGACTACCAGCTGCTTCGGGGTTGCAATTCTTGGGGCACCTTCAGCAGTTCAGTGGCACGCTGTTTCCCATTTTGGTGCCTTGAGCTAAGGCGCTGGCCTGAGAGCTGAGTCCCAGCTCAGCGGTGTCGTCTTTCCCTTTTCGTTTGGGTTCTTCACGGAAAGTGGGACCCAGTCTTCTGCAGAAGTATATGTCCAAGAATTTGGGGGTTTTCAAAGCCTGAACGGCTAAATTCCATGACACTTGCAAAGGTGGGCAAGCGAAACGGCAGGTGTCTGATGGTTGACTCGGACACCGTTGGATTGAGGCTCATGCGTGGAACCCACCAGGTCCCTTTCGGGGACTCCTGTTGGAATCGAGGCCAGCCAGAACTCGAGGCACCAAAATGATCACACGCGACCCCAGAGACAAATCAATGCCAGCACAACGGGCTGCGTGGCAAATTGAAGACACTGCACGTGGGGGGGTCCGAATCATCCCTCTCTCTGACTAGTGCAGTCGCCTGGATAAGTGAAGCTTCAACATGGTTCCCCACCCAGCCAAATTTAGGCTCATGTCAAACAGAGCTTATCCCCGCACAAAACAATGGCAAGGGGTTGGACTCCTTCCTTTTAAGCAACGTGACCAAGATACATGTAGGCTTTTGATCCAGTTCCCAAGGCAACGGGCACCAAGGCCCCTTTTAGTGGATCTCCCCAAACAAAGCGAACATGGGCCCCTTGTAGTGGGTCCACCCCCCCCAAAAAAAAAGAAAGAAAGAAAAGAAAAGCCTCCCCCCCCCCCCCGCCAAAAAAGCAAAGAAAAACCAAACAAACAACAGAAAAGAAACGAACCTGGGCACCACTTTGACGCCCGCAAGGCTCGGCCAGGCGGCATCGCCAGGCGCCTGCGGCCCACCTGCTGGGGAAGGTCCCAGTCCTCCTGGCAGGTCCCAACCCACGTGAACATTACCCCGTAGCAGGTGTTTATACATATTCATATGCACAGAAAGGCACATATGTACAATATATATATATATATACACATGTGTACATTCGTAAGTTTGTCCAACAAACTGGTGGTTTGCCTTTTGGTTCCCTCATACCGACCAAAAAAGGGTGTAGCAGAAAAGACACAGCGACACACACACACAGACACATATATATATATATATACACACACACACTCAACACATGGCCATGGATCTTCTTATTTATAGTGTTCGGGTTCAGGTTTAGGGTTCATGCTATTATTATCAAGGCTCATGGTTTTAATTAGGGTTTATAGTTACTTTAGTTGTTGGGTTGAAATGTGAGTGGATATAGTTTTTGGATAAGGTTTAGGGTATATATTTTTAGGGCGTATCGTTTTAGGGCCATAATTTTAGGTATATAATTTTTACGATACGGTTTAGGGTTCATGGTTTTAGGGCTCATCGTTTTAGGGTTTGTGGGAAAGCCCAAACCCCCGCGGCTAACCATGAGGGCACCCTCTCCCCTGATACTGGCAAAAAGCGTGGACTTGTGTTGAATACATCTGTTGCACAACATTGATGATGACTTGCTTAGTGGTTTAATGGGAACCTTGAGGAAGTCTGATAAATGGTGATCTGCTTCTGTGAATTGAAAGGAACCCATGGAAGAGAAGCCATTTCCCTGACGCAAAAGTGTCGACCAATTGACATGCCATTTCTTATGATTGAAAACGTGTCTGCCAGAGCCAAGCTGGGTGGCTTGGACGAAGGGCTGGGATTGGTGGTTTTCGGTTTTCATCGGGCCCTTGACAAGTGTGAGCTCAAAGAAATCTGCATCACAAACTACCGACAAACGGACCCGAGGCAGGCAGCTTTCCCTTTGTGGAAAAGGAGGGGCACTAAAACCTGTAGACCGCTTTTGGGGGTAGGGCCGTGGGGGGAAGACAAAGCGTGAGGTTCCTGTGCTCACGAAAGCGGCTGAAGCCGGGATCGGAAAGGTCCCTTCCTCCTCCGGCACCCAAGCGTGGTGCTGCAGCACTTGCGGTTGACTCGTAGCCGGCCTGGGCCCCACCAAAATGGGGGTCCCCTTCACTCCAATTTGGCGGGTTTACTCCTTCCACTTCACACATCCATGCGGGAGGTCCCTTTGAGGACGCGGTGCTAAAT